GCTCCAGGCAGGTATGCTCCAGGCAGGTATGCTCCAGGTAGGTATGCTCCAGGTAGGTATGCTCCAGGCAGGTATGCTCCAGGTAGGTATGCTCCAGGCAGGTATGCTCCGGGTAGCTGGGGTAATTCATTCTGATTTGAGAAAATATTGAGGCAATACAATGGAATCGAACGTACATCACCAGGGGGGTCCAGGGACGCGGGTTCGATCCCAATATTGTATGGCCCCTCAACATTTCCTGACGGACATGACGGATACGGATACCCACCAACCGGGCTGTGGTGGGTATGTGGCCCTGAGGGCCGCTCCAAGCAACAGCCTAGTGGACCAAACTCTCACAAGTCGAGCCTGGCCTCGGGCCGGGCTTGGGAGTAGAAGACCTCCCAGAACCCCATCAACCAGGTATATGTGGGCCTGCGGGCCGCTCCAAGCAACAGCCTAGTGGACCAAACTCTCACAAGTCGAGCCTGGCCTCGGGCCGGGCTTGGGCAGTAGAAGACCTCCCAGAACCCCATCAACCAGGTATCAACCAGGTATCATACATGCCGTCCTAGTGATTTCATTGTGTTGTGTGCGTGTCATCGCCGCTACTATTAGCTAGATCTGGAGTCATCAACGCAGCCTCTTACGAAACCCGTACATCTTTCAACACTCATGGTGGTATTGTTTACATTTATTAAACCGTTTACGAGCTTTGAGCCTTCACAACCCGAGGTTATTGTTGTTATAAAGAGACCAGTGGCGCTTCGGAGCCCATAAACTGTTTAATAAATGTAAACAAAGCCGCCATGACGGTGAAAAGTGTAGAGGTTTTTGTAAATGGTTTCGTAAATTTTTGATGAATCCAGGGACCCGGGATTCACCAAGCACTCACGTGTCCACATAAGAGATCTACACCTCTTAACTCGACCATGGTGCCATATACAGTATTTATTAGACAGTTTAGGAGGGGTCGTCGTGACCCCTGGGTGGTGGTGGTGTTGGTATGGACGACCTCGTAGTGCTCGGCAGCTTATCAACTGTTTAGTAATCGACTTGACTCGACTCGTGAATGGTCCAGGACGGACCGAAACGTCGTCGTCCCTTCACCTTCTAGTGTGTGGTCTGGTCAACTGTTTAGTAAATACAAACTGCGCAGAGATGATCGTCGTAAGAGGCACAGATCCCGCAAGTGCGCACACACAGGTGCTTGATGAGTGCTTTCCACAGGAGTAGATGTCTGCTGACTCCTGTAACAAGGGTGTGACAGCCTTTTCTTCCCATAGCTCATGGTAAGCCTTCCCCATTACTTTTCCATGGAACACAAACCCGTCAATCGGTTTTTCCTCCCTGGCCGGGACTCGAACCCTGAGCAAATCTCTCGCGAGGTCTGAGACGAGTGCTGCCACCGTGAAAGCAGAAGAACTGTAAATTATGATGACCAAATCACACATCAGAAAATGAAGGAACGATGACGTGTTTTGTTCCGTCCTGGATCATGATGTGGTCCACGACGGACCGAAACGTCGCCGTCATTTTCTGGTCATCATATCATCTTCAGCCACGTTAGTGTGTCCCATCGTTTGTTGTGGTTTTAGAGTCAGCTACTTAGAACAAACGTTCCAAAGTAGCACGGGCTATGGTGAGCCCGTAGTGGACTTACCTGGCACAGGAGCGGGGCTGTAACTGTGTATGTCCCATCGTTGTTGCTGTTGTTTTAGAGTCAGCTACTTAGAACAAACGTTCCAAAGTAGCACGGGCTATGGGGAGCCCGTAGTGGACTTACCTGGCACAGGAGCACAGGGCTGTAAGTGTGTCCCCCATCGTCTGCAACTGTGTAAATTGTCAAGAGGTGGTGAGGGGAGAGGAGATAGTGAGGGAAGAGGTGGTAGTGAGGTAGACAAGGGGAAGGGGGGGTTGTAAACGCCTTGATAACAGGTTGAAGACCGGGCTCAGCCTTTTGCAGTAAGTCGTGGTCGTCAGTGTGGTCGTGGTCGTCAGTGTGGTCGTGGTCGTCAGCAAGTCGTCGTCGTCAGCAAGTCGTCGTCGTGGTCGTCTACTACCAGCAGGCTGGGCTGGTGGTAGAGCATTAGCACATGGTTGTGTGAGTATACATCTAATACATCTCTGGGTGTGTGAGTATACATCTAATACATCTCTGGGTGTGTGAGTATACATCTAATACATCTCTGGGTGTGTGAGTATACATCTAATACATCTCTGGGTGTGTGAGTATACATCTAATACATCTCTGGGTGTGTGAGTATACATCTAATACATCTCTGGGTGTGTGAGTATACACTTAATACATTTCTGGGTGTGTGAGTATACACTTAATACATCTCTGGGTGTGTGAGTATACACTTAATACATCCCTGGGTGTGTGAGTATACATCTAATACATCTCTGGGTGTGTGAGTATACACTTAATACATCCCTGGGCCTGAGAGTATACACCCATCACTGCCCCGGGGGTGTGTTAGTATACACCTACACATCCCCGGGAGTGTCATGCCAGTGGTATGGTGAGGAATGTAAGGCAGCATTGTGTGGGGTAGACGAGCGCCTGCGGCCCTCTGGCCACGCATATTGTGATGTTTTTTCTCAAGATAAGAGAGAGGAGCAGGCGGAGATAAAGACCGGTGTAGCGGGGAAGGTTGGCGGGTGCCGGATGATAATGCCAGATAATGCCAATTCACGAAGCAGTTACGTCCGTACTTACGAACGTGTACATCTTTCCCCAATCTTTGACGGCTTTGGTTACATTTATTAAACAGTTTACAAGCATGAAAACTTGCCAATCAACTGTTGTTATTGTTATAAACAGCCTCCTGGTGCTTCGGGGCTCATTAACTGTTTAATAATTGTAAATAAAGCCGCCAAAGATTGAGAAAAGATGCGCAGGTTCGTAAGTGTTTGCGTAACTTTTTCGTGAATCTAGCCCCAACAATGTGAACTCTGTCACCAGCAACTGGATCACACTCTCCTACATTACATTGTTGAATGGCTAGTCATTAGATCTTTCAGACCTGCTGGTATGAGGTACCTGGAGCTTTGCAATTACTGTATCCGCTCTACTGTTTTTGAGGATATTCTCATAATACAATACATAATATCCTCATACTACAGCCTGTGCCATACAGGTAGTTCTCGACACATGACCTTTCATATATTCTAGGCCGGCTGCACAAATACCCATGTATCTAGGTATATTAAAAAAGGAATTGGTTAAGTGCCGTGTCAACTGATAGAGAAAGAGTGTGATATTAAGTTATCAGTTTAGGGGTTATGAGGCTCAATGATGCAGTCTCAAGGACTTGCCTCCTCACTGGTCCTGACCGGTTACATGCACACTTCATTACTTACTCTCTATCAGGGTGAGATAACTCCTATCTTATACACGGTTACCTTGAGAACTCCCGTGTCCACCTGCCACACACTGTCAACACCGTGTGAAGTGAAGGTTCGCAACACAAGTGTTCTTTCCGCCCCCCTCCCCCTTCCCCTCCACCGAGGGGAGACATCTCCCGTCCACGAGGCTAACCATAGCCCGTGCTTCTTGCCCCGCTCATGTGCCAGGTAAGTTACGGGCTCACCATAGCCCGTGCTTCTTGCCCCGCTCATGTGCCAGGTAAGTTACGGGCTCACCATAGCCCGTGCTTCTTGCCCCGCTCATGTGCCAGGTAAGTTACGGGCTCACCATAGCCCGTGCTACTGGGAACTTGTTCCGAGTAGCTTAATCTATAACAACATCCCCCCCCCCCCCACCATTTCCACAGTCAGTACTCCCAGTCTCCTCCACTAACACTGGGGAAACCACAACCACTAAACCCACCCCTCCCAACACTATCACTTGGGACATTAAGCATAGGTAGCAACGCAATAGACCCGCATAGTACCACCCCCTCTCACCCATCTGAGCCTCTCCGATTGGTTGATTGATGAAGATTAAGCCACCCAAAAGGTGGCACGGGCATGAATAGCCCGTAATGAGCCTCTCCAATGAAGATTATGCTACCCAAAAGGTGGCACGGGCATGAATAGCCCGTAAGTGGTGGCCCTTTTGAGCCATTACCAGTATCAATAGCTGATACTGGAGATCTGTGGAGGTGCGACTGCACCCTGCGTGACGGGCGATGTCTCCCGTGGAGCATCTCCGATTGATGATGATTGATAAAGATTAAGCCACCCAAGAGGTGGCACGGACACGAATAGCCCGTAATGAGCCGCTCCGGGTTCTGGTAATCCATATACCCATCAAATGTGTTCTTGAAACACCGTCTCAATAACGCCACCTGGCAACCCATTCCACTCACCAACTACCCTATACCCGGACTAGTTCCTCCCCTGTATCGCTAGTTAAAGATAAAATTTACCAGCTTGTACCCATTGTTGAACCACACGTCTTCAGACTGTTCATTCCATCCAGCGGCCGACCCCAAAGGCACATTCATCTATTGAACATGCTGCTCATTCAGAATAGTAATTTTCTTAAATATATATTTTTTTTAAGAAAATAGGGAAGGGAGTACCACCTCTGGCTGGAAGAAGGGGGACCCTTAGCTTCGGAGGAAACCACACATAATGCATTGGAGGGAATGTTTAGGTCCCCTCCAATTAATATTGTTATACTTTAACTTGGTTTAGCATATTGTGCATATTTAGGTGTAGGTTACGTTAGGTGTTAGCTGTGTTGGCAATTGTTTTTATATATAGTACGTGAGTGAAGCATTTAGAGAGAAAACGTTCGAACAGAGGTCATCAGCGAGGTTCGTGAAATGTTCGAACGTCATCAGTTGTGAATGTGTAAACCGTTTTTCATTCATAAATGGAATTTGGCGGCTGCTTGGAGTGAACATGGGTCTTTGTTGAAGAAAACGGGCTGTGTTGCAGGGCTAACCTGTTCAGAGTTCCACAACCCTGTTTATGTCCCTAACCCACTTGAACACATCGATCATATCCCCTTTTGTATATGTTGTTACAGGTGTTGTATTACGTATTAACTGAGGTTGTTGTTACAGGTGAAGTTGGAGCGAGTGCTGGGGCTGACAGTACCCAGTAACGCCGCCCTCGACTGTGACCCCCACACCGGCCACGTCGCCTATCCTGCAGGGTGAGTATATTGTTCTCGTCCACTATATCCACTTCTATCCCCATCATCCTTTCACCCCCATCCCTCCTCATCCTGTAATCAACACCTACAGAGCGTGTAGCAGGTTCCGTGCCTGCTACCCGCTGACCTGGGACCTCCTGGGTATCGTTAGGCTATATGGCTCTCTTAAGACATTTCCACAGTGTATCACATCTTAGGGAAGCGCCTGCGTAGCTCGCTTCAACACCCACACTGCCTCCCCCATCCTGGCGCTGCCCTTGCTTCTGCCCCGACACTCTGCTGCTTCTTACTTCCATCATGTTTTTATACGCTTCTCGCACTTGATTCCCTTGTCTTCATTTGTGTTGACTGGGCAACCTACACTTGCCACAGTTTCGTCAAAATGTGTTTCGACAAACACATTTCAGTAGGAAAATACACAACAAAGAAGGAAGGAAATTATGAGACAGCGCTAAGCCAGGACGTAGCACATGGAAGAGATACGAGGACAAGGATAAAAGATTGGATAGAGGGAGACGGAGTGAAGGAACGTTGCCCAACCACTTGAACCATCGAGATCGAACACCAACCTGGAAGAAGTGAAGTCATCGCTGTACCAATCGGTCCAAGCGGGTGGGTGAAGAAAACTGTATTAATTGTAATGACACTGAAGTTGTCGAGAACATTGTGAGCCACCAAGAGTCATTCTGGTGCTTGTGCTGCCAGCTACACCTCGGCTCTTAACATTTATCATGCAATTAAGGTTGTGTGTGTGAGGGTAAACACTTGTGTAGCCAATGTAATCAGGTACCTTCAGGGGGCAGCTTCCCGCGCACAAATACGAACTCCTGGCAAAGATATGGCTGGACCACATAATGGTCTCCTTGCCTGTTGAATGTGATGGATGAATGTCATAGCTTGAGACTTGTAGGTGGCACGCAGTGTACCGGCTCAGTATATCCAACTGTCCTGATGCAGATGCTTCAAGTATTCGAGTATTAGTGCACATTGGAGGTAGTTAACACCTTATCTATATATTGATAGATTGCTAATATGCCCTCGTATATACTGTAAGAGGGAATACTGGGCCCACTAGTGGAGTGCCACAGGCTCTGTACTAGGTCTACTAGAGGGGTGCCGCAGGGCTCTGTACTAGGTCTACTAGAGGAGTGCCACAGGCTCTGTACTAGGTCTACTAGAGGGGTGCCGCAGGGCTCTGTACTGGGCCCACTAGAGGGGTGCCGCAGGGCTCTGTACTGGGCCCACTAGAGGGGTGCTGCAGGGCTGTAGTTTTCCGACGACAAAGATACAGACGTGTAGTAATTCCAGACTGGTGACCTGCAAAAAAACTCTCGCGCTTTGCGGAAAAATGACAAACACAATGAATAGTTAAGAAATGCAAAGTCCTTAAGATATAGAAAAACAACAACGGTATTGTTAGTTTCATAGTTTTCTTTAATAGGAATCAGTGGGGCCAAACTATTATGTATTAGCGATAAGACCTACCATTAATGTATGATGACTTACTGTAAATATGTAGCTCTTGTAATAGCACTTTCTCTGTAACTAGCTGACATTGTAACTATAAGGTGTGAAGGATAGAAGAAATTGTTTATGTAATAATCTAAGATGAGGTCTGATAAAGACCTTTTGTGCCCTCTGTAATGCTTTTGCGCTACCGCTCACAGGATGAGTATGGGGTGCACAATAAACTAGCCGCAATCAATAGAGTTAGCACGTCCTTATTAAGCTAATTGGGCTGCCACTGTCACAGTTAGCCGTCTAGTTTAGGTATGGATGGCTTAAGTAAGGAGGTGGCTACCTACCTACCTACCTTGAGGTGCTTCCGGGGCTTAGTGTCCCCGCGGCCCGGTCGTCGACCAGGCCTCCTGGTTGCTGGACTGATCAACCAGACTGTTAGACGCGGCTGCTCACAGCCTGACGTATGAGTCACAGCCTAGTTGATCAGGTATCCTTTGGAGGTGCTTATCCAGTTCTCTCTTGAACACTGTGAGGGGTCGGCCAGTTATGCCCCTTATGTGTAGTGGAAGCGTGTTGAACAGTCTCGGGCCTCTGATGTTGATAGTTCTCTCTTGAACACTGTGAGGGGTCGGCCAGTTATGCCCCTTATGTGTAGTGGAAGCGTGTTGAACAGTCTCGGGCCTCTGATGTTGATAGAGTTCTCTCTCAGAGTACCTGTTGCACCTCTGCTTTTCAACGGGGGTATTGTGCACATCCTGCCATGCCTTCTGGTCTCATGTGGTGTTATTTCTGTGTGCAGGTTTGGGACCAGCCCCTCAATTATTTTCCACGTGTAAATTATTATGTATCTCTCCCGCCTGCGCTCAAGGGAGTACAGATTTAGGCTCTTTAGTCGGTCCCAGTAATTTAGATGTTTTACTGAGTGGATTCTAGCAGTAAAGGATCTCTGCACGCTCTCTAGGTCAGCAATTTCTCCAGCTTTGAAAGGGGCTGTCATTGTGCAGCAGTACTCCACTCTAGATAGCACAAGCGTTTTGAAAAGTATCATCATCGGTATAGCATCTCTAGTGTGAAAAGTTCTTGTTATCCAACTTGTCATTTTTCTTGCAGTTGTGACGGCTACTTTATTGTGTTCTTTAAAGGTAAGGTCTTCCGACATGAGTACACCCAGGTTATAGGTGGTGTTCTATTTGTTTTTTTAACAGATGTGGGAGTTCATTTACAATGTTAAATGTTCGAGCCTGATCTTAGGCTGGGCTCGAGGAGTAGAAGAACTCCCAGAACCCTCTCCAGGTATGTTAAACAGCTCGTATAGTTTTTCTTGTGTCATGATTGATTGATAAAGATTAAGCCACCCAAGAGGTGGCACGGGCATGAATAGCCCGTAAGTGGTACATCTTGTGTCATGTGTCAGACAACATATAGTGTAGCGAGTTAGTGAGCACTCAACCACACAGGGCGATTGTTATGCCTTTACAATGTTGTTGTTTGAGATTCGCTACTTGGAACAAGACGTTCCTAGTAGCTACTTGCTACGTGCTACTTGGAACGTCTTGGAACAAGACGTTCCAAGTAGCACGGGCTATGGTGAGCCCATTGTGAACTAACCTGGCACAGGAGCGGGGCTGTAACTTGGCCCTTACAATGTTGATTGATGAGGATTAAGCCACCCAAAAGGTGGCACGGGCATGAATAGCCCGTAAGTGGAGGCCCCTTTGAGCCATTACCAGTATCAAGAGCTGATACTGGAGATCTGTGGAGGTGCGACTGCACCCTATGTGACGGGAGATGTCTCCCCTTTACAATGATTGATTGATAAAGATTAAGCCACCCAAAAGGTGGCACGGGCATGAATAGCCCGTAAGCTTTACAATGTTAGCCAGTATGTATATATATTGTGGTCTGTGTTGCACAGACAGGGCAAGAGAGGCGACGGTGTTGGTGGGGCCGGTGGGCGTGCTGAGGCGTCGGGCTCCCTCATCACTGCTCCCCGGCATCACTGCTGTAATACCCTTCCCGACAAGCGTTCGCATCCCGGCAAAAATGAGTCATTGATGTATTTTGATTTTGATGATTTTTATGATATTTGACGCCTATGGCAAATTTGGTTATTCTGGTATAGTGTGGCGTGCCCCTCGCAGACTCTACCTGGGTTATCTTGAGGTTATCTTGAGATGATTTCGGGGCTTTAGTGTCCCCGCGGCCCGGTCCTCGACCAGGCCTCCACCCCCAGGAAGCAGCCCGTGACAGCTGACTAACACCCACGTACCTATTTTACTGCTAGGTAACAGGGGCATAGGGTGAAAGAAACACTGCCCATTGTTTCTCGCCGGCGCCTGGGATCGAACCCGGGACCACAGGATCACAAGTCCAGCGTGCTGTCCGCTCGGCCGACCGGCTCCCTGACCCATATCTCATCGGGTCATGAGATATGGTAATGTTATCAGCCATCTGTAGCCGCCACGCTTCGTGTCCCTCGTGTGTAATACAAAACGAAAAGTAGTAGTAATCGGTAGCTCGTATCGATGTTGTTTAAGATTCAGCTACTGGGAACACAAAGTTCTCAGTAGCACGGGCTATGGCGAGCCCGTAGTGGACTCGCCTGGCACAGGAGCGGGGCAAGTAGCACGGGTTCTGGCGAGCCCGTAGTGGACTCGCCTGGCACAGGAGCGGGGCTGATGTGTGCTCGTATCGAGCCAGCAAGGTGAGGTTATAGGCCAGGCTCACAAGTCAGTGAGTAGAAGAACTCCCAGAACCCCATCAACCAGGTATATGTGAGCCTGCGGGCCGCTCCAAGCAACAGCCTGGTGGACCAAACTCTCACAAGTCAAGCCTGGCCTCGGGCCGGGCTTGTGGAGAAGAACTCCCAGAACCCCGTCAACCAGGTATCAACCAGGTTGTTGAGACGGCGTCCCTGCTGCCACCAGGGGCTGACCGGGTCCTCTCTCCTGTCTTCAGTGTTAATGATATACTGGACACACCATGGGCTCTGTGTATTCACCTACCTGTGCTTGCGGGGGTTGAGCTCTGGCTCTTTGGGCCCGCGCCTCTCAACTGTCAACCAATCGACTATGTTTTGTTTTCCACACACACAAACACCCAGGAAGCGGTCCGTAGCAGCTGTCTAACTCCCAGATACCTATTTGCTGCTAGGTGAACAGGGGCATCAAGGTGAAACAAACTCTACCCATTTGTTTCCTTCTCCGCCGGGGATAGATCTCCGAACCCTAGGATTACGAATGCCGAGCGCTGTTCACTCAGCCGCCAGGCCCCTGTCAGATGTGAGAGAGAGAGAGAGAGAGAGAGAGAGAGAGAGAGAGAGAGAGAGAGAGAGAGAGGAGGAGGATTGGGATTGGGATTGATGAGGGAGGAAGTAACCAGGAAGCCATGAGGGAGAGAGGCAGTAGAGGCCAGATAACGTGGTGCTAGGAGCCGGGTGTGAGTCACTAGGCCTTGGGGCTGGTCCACCTGGCCGCCGTGGTGGTGGGCAGCCCCGGAGGGACTAGCAGTACACCACACACACACACACACACACACAC